CCCTATCCCCCGTCACCCCCCTCCTTATCTCTGAAACCACCTTCAACTCCAGCCCCTTGACCATCCCCCGATTCCCATCGCTCTACCATTGGGGGCCGTGCCTTCAGCTGCCTGGGCCCCGAGCTCTGGGAATCCACCCCCCACCCCACCGCTTCGCTCCAGGGAGCGGTAGGGTACACTGTGGCGGCCTTGGTTCTTGGCAGGTGAAGGCCAATCAGCAACCTTGTCTCTTGGGTACTGAGGCCAATACGGCGCTCAGGAACAGGACTGTGACCTGACCACCTCCGTCCTCAGAGAGAGAGAGAGAGAGAGTCAGTCCACTGTGTCTGCGTTTGCCGATCTCCAGGGGAAAGGAGGTGGGATTTTCCCATGCAAATGGAGGTTCCCAGTCTGCTGTCCCAGCCTTGGGAAGGTCTTAACTCAACGCGTGGATTAAACATTGCAAAACAAAACATGGCCACCAGACTCCAGGGCAAGTTCATCCCCCAAGTCCCAGAGAGGGTGTTCCTTCCCCACCAGAGAGATGGGAATTGTTGACCAGTTGTAGAGCTATAAATTTGCTCACGAGGCCACAATCCCAGGAGTTCTCCACCCAATCCCCATCCTCACAAAAAAGGGAGATCCACTGGGTTCTGCCCCAGATCATAACCTACTTGGTCTGCTAACCCCAACCCCTCCATCAGTTACCAAAGTCAGCTTGGGTTCCCTAAATGCCCTTCAGGGAAGGAAAGCTTACCCCGATCTGGGCCTACACGTGACTCCAGGCCCAGACCCTAGCCAGCCTCTCCATTGTGAGAGAGCATACCAACTATCTCCAGCAGCCAATCAATGCAGGCGTCCCCCAGTGAGACCCGAGGAACCCCCTCCCTGAACAAAGAGGAGTTTCAAATAAACGATAAAACAGAGAGAGAGAGTTCGTCACCATCTCGCGTTGGAGGCTATTGTGTCACACTGGTGGCCATCTTGAAAATAAAAGAGGTAGCGTCCTGACAAGAAATGGGAAGAGAAAGATCCCACATTGGCTAACAGAAAAAAAACTTGCTACCCCTCCTAAAGACAGGGAATGCAACTCTCTCTCACTTATGACTGGGAATTTCACAAGACAGCCAATTGGGTCCCCAAAAGCTTTGGTGACTCATTAATCGATCCAATGCAGGGGTTAGGGGCTGAGTGAAGCCATTCGGCCCCTCCAACTCTATACTAGCTTTCAACCAGCCAGCGAAGGGACAAGACTTCACCAACCGCGGAAGGGTTCGAAGACCTTGGGCAGGCACCATGGTGCCCGGAAAGTCCCAACGGGATGAGGTCAGATCTGGTTGGCATAGATGAGTTGGGCAGAAGGGTCTGACTCTACTTCAAATAGGTGTATCAAGTAGTCAACAGGCAACAAGAAGTGGGGGGGGAGGGGGGGATCTTCTTGGAAAGTCTTGGCATGAGCCAGACCTGTGCTTGGGGTCTCCAAACCGAAGCCAACTCCTGCCCAATTCTCACCTGGGCTGTACCTGTCCCTAGCCCGGGGCACTCACAACGCTTTGAAAAAAAAAGCGCAAATCAGGAAAGATTGGGATCCACCCCGTCTCTATAGGTGGGGTTAGGAAATCTCACGGTTCTGCAATAGAGGAAATATTTTCAAAACAAAACTTCCACAAGGTCTCTTTTCCCACAGGGCGAGAAGGCAAGGCGGGAGGTGTGATGTTTCACCGTCAGTTCACACAGTTAAAGCTCTTAGCTCTAAATGCCAGCGACCCTCGCTAGGAGCTGGTGCCACTCCCCAGGTCACCATTGGTACCTCACCCTGCTGTGCCAATTCCCCCCGTACCGTGAGGTGCTGGACCTCAAATCTTACCCCAGTCTGCTGTTACACTCACCAATTTCAAACTGTTTATATAGCGTCTCCAATCAAACAATACTGCTTTATGGCTCTTTAATTGTCAAACTAATCTGACCTCCGCCACTGAGGGTTTATCAATATTTGCCTTTAAATTTCATCAAGCTGATAAGGACAAAGCCAGATTCAAGATGGCTCCCAGCAAAAAAAAACAAACAAACAGAAGTCCTAACTTCCCCATATTCCTGTCAGCACTGCACTCAGGCACTAGCTAATAAATAAAAATGGTTTTACAACAGTGACTGTCCCCAGACCCAGGGGCTGGATTAGGGGCCCCAAGATACACACACACACGAAGTCAAACCAAGTTGATTCTCCCTCCCTCTCGGGTCCAGGAACCACATCAAATACAAAAGCCAGCAAACCCCCACCATTTCAGAAAGGTTGTGTACCAATGCGCCAACAGGTGGAGAGATAGAGGGAGAGAGACATGATTAATACAGAGGGCAAAGTGGAGGTCACGTACAAAAAAAAATTTAAAAAAATAATTAAAAATCCACATAAAGTAGACTTTAATAAACTTGAGAAATTAAAATAAAAAGTATCCAACAGGACACTGATTCAATACTTTGAGGGAGTTTGTTACTTCAGTCCCTCACACACACACACACACACACACACACACAGAGACAGAGGGACAGAGAGACAGAGGGACAGAGGGACAGAGGGACACAGGGGAACATTAACACAGAAAAAGGGGAATGTACAGAGACACACACACACACACAGCGAGAGGCAGACAAGAGAAAACAGACAGAGAGCTGCAAAGACAAGGAAACAGTCAGAAAAACCTGAGACACAGAGAGAACACCACCCCCACCCCTACATACACACACAAACCCTTACAAATGTACAGAGACAGAGAAAGACAAACAAGGAGGGGAGGAAAAAAGGGAAATAATTCAGACACACAAGAGAGGGATGGGGATGAGAAAGAGAGAAACTGACAGACACACACAGGGAGAGAAAGAGAGGAGAGGGATGGGCAATGTGAAAGGGAGAGACCAACAGGGAGAAAAAGAGACACAGAGACAGAGACAAAGAGACAGTGTCAGACCGGATTGTGTCCCCCTCCTCCCTGCCCCAGACTCACCTCCCAGAGCCAAAATGGAGTCATACACCTTGCATTGGATCTGCCCCGTGCTCTGGTACACACAGTTCATCCAGAGCCCCTTGTAGACCGCCTGCGCTGTGATAATGTTGTCTCCGGCGTAGCTGGACATCTTCCACTGGGGCATGATCGTACTCGCTACCAGGGCTATCCATCCCAACAGAGCCAGGGTGAAGCCGAGAATCTGCAGCCCCGAATTAGCCATGAGCAGGGAAACAGACAAGAGAGAGACTGAGCTGGAAACGAACAATCCGGAAGAAAAATTACAGCCCGGAATCCAACACAGAGAGAGAAACTTTCCCGAAACACAGCTTTCAGCGTCCGGCAATCCTATACTACCTCTCCCTGCCCCACCTTCTACCTGTTTATAAAGAAGTAGGAAAGAGGTTGTGTTGTGGGGGTGGAAGGAGGACATCGGGAACGCGCCCCGCCCCCCCTCGGGGATGCGCACCAGGTTTCGATTGGGAAATGAGAAAGAGTTTCGAGAGGAACAGCGAGGTAGACAAACACAAACACAGTTAAAAAAAAACCCTTTCTCACCTCACCACTCCTGAGAAAAATAAAACAGACATCCTTTTCCATCTCCAACCCCATCATACAAATCCACTCGCAGCCTTTTTGAATAAATAAATCATAGATAGACTTGCTTACAGGTTAATCATTGATTTCCTTAAGACACACAGAAAACCCAAATGCCACTAATTCGAATTTTAAGAGTCAATTTTATTTTCCGCTGGAGTGTAGGTGGCTGAGGGGTGATCTTACACAGGTTTGTAAAATCATGAGGGATATAGGTAAGGTGAATGTCTTTACTCCAGTGTGGGGAATTTCAAGACTAGGGGGCATATTTTTAAGGTGAGAGGAGAAAGGTTTAAAAAAAGACATGAGGGGTAACTTTTTTTCACACAGAGAGTGGTTGGTGTGTGGAATGAACTTCCTGAGGAAGTGATGGATGCGGGTACAGTTACACTGTTTAAAAGACACGTAGAAAATTATATGATAGGAAAGGTTTGGAGGGATATGGGCTC